AGCCGTGATCCGGTGATTTAAAAGTGCACGGCAACCGATGTTGTCCGAATTCGGGCCACATGATTTTCACATGGTCAAAGTAAGCCCCTACAAGTGGTGAGTTCAAGGGAATTAATCCGGTAACGTGCACGGGAGTCAGCAGGCCCTTTTGTCGAGTAAACCCATCCTCGTTTGTGTGTGTTTGAAGGGGCCTACTTTAATGAACACCTGCTTCTTCGAAATCCTCCAATCTTGAGCTTGAAAACTTGTGGGATATGTGGTACCTCAAGTAGTTGGACCATCGCTCAGAACAATTAGTGTACCTCCATAGCAAAGGGCGTCAGCTTTTTCACTTGGGTCGAAGCACATGGGACAAAGTCCATATCCAGGTTTAACCAAGTCCTTGAATAAACCGAAATGAAGGGATTGGTGCCATCGATTGCTCGCCCAGGACTACCTGGCTGGTTCTCAGGGAATGAGGGGTCTTGGGAATGAACCCGGATTCCCTTAAAGGAACAAGCGCGAGGTTTTCAGTGGAGTCAGTCTCTGATTTCCTACCTATCGAACCCCCTTTCCAGCGAAAGCCCCGGCGGCTTCCGCTTTCGGATTCCTGGAAGGACAGCGACAGCAAGCGCTGGCCGGAGTCGCGGGGCATGCTCAAAGCTGCCACGAAGTCGGCCACCACCTGCGACGAAGTCGCCCGAGACAAGTAATAGAAATGCAGGTGAATTTGATGTCAGGAAAAGGGATGGACCGCCAAACCAAAGAAAGCCAAGCGTGTTGGGGGAACAAGGGGAGTGGAGTTGGGCGGAAGGTGGGGTTGGATTTTATGGCGAAACCTTCCCAGAGGTCATCCACGGTGGCATAACCTTCCGAAAACTCCAGCCTGGGTTGCGCTTGCCTCCAAGAAGGGGGGTGTAAGCTGACTATTCAAAGAATATCCAACGCGTCAATACAAACTTGCACTTGACTGAAATGAAATGGAGAAGAGAAAACAGAGAACGTTCAACACGCTTTTGATGTGTTTCCTGGTTTTCTTTTTGACCCCTCGTTCTGGAAATAAAGGGACAGCCTAGCAGTGTGGACCCCATCTTTGTGACCATGCTTGCCTTTACCTCAAACCAACAGCGTCAAAAGTAGACTTAGCAACCACGATGATCTATAGTAGGGAGCTCCTTGTCTCATGCAACGTGAGAGTGTTTCTCAAAATGCTGGACCAGGGTGCGGACCCCTCTTGGGAAACCAACCAAAAAACAGGGCCATTTGAGAAGGCCACCTGTTTAGGGAACCCTCATGGAGTTTACACAAGAAAAGACGGCCATGAGTCAAAACCCCGTACCCCCAGTGAACATCCCAATCCCCACTTAAATAAACTGGGTGGTGCACGTATCCCAACATATAGCCATTGGTTTTGAACCATGGCCACACAAGAAAACCACCGAGCCAAGCACTTCCAAGCTCCTGCCTCTTGGCCATCTTCCCGGAGGTGACCCACAGTGACGTAACCTTCCTGGCGATGCGGCAGTGGATATGTGCCACAGGGGGATCCTGCAAATGGTGAAGTTCCTTTTAAATTCCTTGCTTTTCCCTTTAAACCAACCACAACATATGCGAAAGGCACCCGCCTACCAAAACCCACCCAATTCAAGATACACCTTCTCCGCCTCCAAAAAATCAATGCAAAAGGCACAAGAATGGTCAACTTTCAAGGCAGGTCCTGCCACAAAATACAACACCTTCCTTCAGGACTCATGGCCCTCGTGAAATGTGCCTGGAATCATGGTGGCCAACCCACCATAAGCAGATCCATGTCAACTGGACATCCGATTCGATGCCATGTGTCGTGAATCTGAAACTCCTGATGTCATGCCGTCCAAGGTCCACCAACTCGGCTCAGGTTTTGGCCAACTGCCAGGGGCCAAGTCTTGAGGCGCGGGAGAACTTGAAACGCGGAAGCTATGTGTTTCTCTCCTGTTGGACGCCCCCAAATTGCTTGTGGGTTGTGGCTTGGAGTCCGTTGGGAAACTCAGGGGCCTGTTTAACCCTCACAGACTCATAAGGTGGCAAAATGATCTAAGGCGGCCAACTCGATCTCACGGCTAAGTCTGCCCTGCGTTGCTAATCTACGATCTTGGCTCTACAAATTAAGATCCTCCCAGAGACGCCACCTCAACTTCCAGGGAAAGCATATAGGAAAATTTGAACAGCGGCCTATACGCTACTTGCATGCCTATGGGGAAGCCTCCGCAAGCCTACGCCGCTGCAAAGGGTGCCTACGTGAGCACACGTCATCTTGCAGGGACCTACAGGGACGACTACGCGGGCTAATGTTCAGTTCAAGTGCACTACGTGAAAGGCACTCTGGCAGCTCCAGCTGGAAGATCGCAATTTTTCAGCATACAAGTGTAGTACGAGAAGCACACTTTCGCACCGGCTCGTATCACCTGTACAGTACAAGTGAGAACCACACAAAGGATCTGGCTGCTAGAAAAGGCTTACTTATTCAAGGCATTAGCCTACGAGAATGCCTTGGCGGGCCTCTGCGGAGCCTACGCGAAGACTGTAGCACAAACACAAGGAAGGCAAACCGTATGGACTCTTTCATTGGAAATCGCTGGTCCCTTGGCCGAAGGTGATGAAGTAAAAAACTCCGTCCACAGCTAGGTCCTAAAGGAGAGAGGTCAGAATAAGGGTACCCCTTTGGCACTCGGCGCATCCGCGATCGGCTGCGCTGGTGAGTGGGGCGTGCCGCCCCACCACCAGTAACGGAGGCCCTCAGGGCCGTGACACGAACAAGCTCCTCGGAGAGCCAAAGGCTCAATCCGCAGGCCGGGTGAGCAGGCCCACCGGCGCGCCGGGCAAGACCCCGGCAGCACACCAAGAAAGGGGAAAAGCACAAAACTGCTGCACAAGCGTAGGGCCCGAAGTTGGACAAGCAAGCCCAAGGAAGTCGGGACCTCCGGAGCCACTGGCACACGCCACAGGGATATGGAAAGCACCATGAGGTAGCAGCCCTAACGACCCAAGGGCACAATGGGCAAGGCAGCCCGCATCACCACCGCCGAGTCAAAAGGGCACAACCCACACTCAGGTAGACCCGCCCAGAGAAGCAGATGCAGAGCGCGAAGAGAACGAGGCATCAAAGGGGCCGAAGGCGCACAACGAAGAGGGCCAGCAATACCTTCACCCCATAAGAAAGGGGGTGTCTCGAGGCTGGGACTGACCCAAAGGCCAGGATGCCTCCCGGGTGAAGCGGACCGGCAACGAATGCGTAACCAAGCGGATAAGCTCCCCGAATGAAGAGGGTGACCAGGGGGTGCACGAGGAGCAGGTTGAAGACAGAGCTGCCAGCCATGGCTTTTTGGACGCAGGACCGGGCAATGGAGCCCCAGCCCTGCCCCGGGGGCTCAGCTCCCTGAGCCGAGGGGTGCTTGAACCCGGACGGCTATAAGGGTACCTCTTTTTCTGTACTCTATTTTAGGGGAACCCACCCCCAAAACAGAAACGGTAAAAGGGCGACTCGCCGGGGGACCTCGCCCCTGTGCCTCTTCGAAGGATGGCGCGAAGAAGGCCGCATCCAGGCCTCCGCTCTCGGCTCTGCCGGACATCCGCGCTGGAGCTGTGCACTTGGTACCAGTGGCTTGGACCGCACAGAACACGGAGATTCAATATATTTTAAATGGTCTGTTCGCATGGAATTAGTTTACCCTGAGCCCTAGCTTTGGCTACCCATCAACATGATCTCATCGAATCCCTATTCGCCCGGAAAGGGTCCGGCCTGGGTCTATAGCTGTAGCACCCTTAAGGCGTTTGAGTCTTTAGCATCTATCTGTTATCTGGACCCCAGATAATCAGTTGTGGGACTTCGAAGAGGCCCAAAATCGTTTCGAGTGAGTCTTGCGAATTGCCGAACTGAATAGGACATGTATTGGTAGAATTGAATACACATATGGAACCGTGAAATACCTATGAAATAATTATGAATGATCGAGTATACCCGTGAATGACCAAGTAGAACCATAACCCGTGAATGACCAGGTTAAACCATAAACAAAAAACCACCACCTTCAATCCCGATTTCCAATGACCCGCCCACTGAGGCCTCGATAGGCACCTTAGGCCTGGGAACATCGAGAGCCGAGGCCACGGCAACGCAGCAGCCCGCGCACAGGAGTAGGCGACGGCAGCCGCAACATGAGTGCCCATTGCCGAGCCTTTGCTTTGATGGGTGTTTGAATGAACACGGGCTTCGATGGGCTTGGAGTGGGGGGTGGGATTGGGGATGTTGAAGGTTGCAACTGTCGGGGCCTCAAGGCAGCGGTCACGAAGACCGAAGACACGTTAAATCACCAGCTAAACACACCAGCACTGGGCTGCCCAGGATTAAATTGAAATCCCTACTAAACCCTAAAAAGCTGCAAAGCTAAGGGGATGGCTGGGAACCACCAAGAGCATACTTTCTGTTATTTTCGGGGGAACCGTCAATTTGATGGGTAAGCTTGCAAGGGTGGCTGTACAAAAATCACTCAACAGGAACAGCCAAGGACCTTTCGTGAAACCGAGTCTCAGTCCGCTTTGGTGACTATCAAGCGTAACCTTGGCACGTGCTTTACTGTGCGCTTCGTGGGTCTTCTCCGGTCAGTTTACCCTCTCATGCTTTCAGCTGGAGCATGGACGACAAGCGATCTGGCATCACTTACTTTCTTGCCCCCTGCTTGTAAGATCTTGTGAGCAAATGCGGAGGCTCACACTACGACACGAACAACCCCTCAACATGATCACTTATTCTGTCCTCCGTGCGTGCATTCTACCAGCAATCCGCGCTGTTTCATGATGTTGTCTTGGAATGAGGACAGGCTCTTGAGCAGTGCCACTAGTTTCGTGTACTCAAATGGTGCCTTACAACTATCACGCAAAACAGCCTGGCATGGATTGCAGTGTGCGTCTAGTTGACAAAATCAAGACACCACCAAGAGCCACCTGGAACCCGTCCACGTCTCGTGGCCTTTTTGGCGGACCACCGAAGAGGTGGCGCAAATCAAACCGACTCGGATTTGGAAGGGCGGCTGCTTGTTCCGGACAACCCATAGCTTCATAAGCGATCGAATATGTTCGAATGGTTTGTTTGCTCCGCTGGAAAAGCAGCAAACAAGCCTCGACCGCGAAATCAAACAACATGCGCTTTGGCCGATTTTCACCTATACACCAAAGCAACCCGGTCAAAAATTGCTTGTCCATCCCCTCAAAAACAATAGCATGGACTCACCTCCTGCGTTCGTAACGCCCAGGCTACAGGCTATTCATACTAGTGCAGTCGAATACATTCGATTCACAAGATTCTGCTTGCATAACAGAGCATCCATGTATGCTCGGAAACGAGTCGAAGCTTGCAACCAAGCAGAAATCTGCAGATTCCTTAAATGTCCACTCCAAAATAAGGACCCAAGAATCAATTACAATGGGGTTTGTGGTACTTAAATACCAAACTACCTCATGATAGGAAAATGTGTACACATTTTGTGGCCCCTTATATTGCTTAGCGATGGTGCATTTCTGCTATCGTCCTCCTTGAACTTCTTCTTCCTCTTGGGCTTCACCTCCTGTGAGCTAACGGTGCCGGAAAAGTGCTGAGTACCCTGCTAACAAATGGATTGCGGTATCTGGAAGGTTGTTGACGTCCCTAACCATCCCTAACCATCCCCAACCATCCCTAACCATCCCGAACCACCCGCAACCATCCCCAACCTACCCACCAACAAACGTTGCTTGGAGCTCAAAGCGGCTTGCTGCGCAACCACCTTTGTTTGGAAGACAATTCTCCGGTTGGAAAGGGTGCCTGTGCACTTGTGCACTTCCTGATTGCTGGGGGGAGTGCTGAAAAACATGGGTTCACTCCGGAGACTCTCCTGGACCAATCTTTTTGCCGCGATTCATTGGCCAGGTGCCTTGCCCGAAAAAGGGCGCACAGTTCCCGAGAAAAAAAACATATATTTCTGTGGCGGCGTTTCTTCCCACTGCCTTAACAACCAGCCTGCCATAGGCGCTCATGTCTGGCTGCAGGTGGTGTCATCGGATCATTTGTTGGGCGATGTTTATGAGCTTTTTCCAGTTTTGCTCTGCCCTGGTGAATTGACTTGGACAACCCTTGCTGATTGTATGGTTGCGTGTTTTGAATCATGTTGCCTTTCCTTTCAGGCCTTTGATCCTTTTAGTTCTTGGGGCAATGTGCATCAACACATCAAGTAAACCATCCGAGCCTCTTCTTCCTCCTCATCTTCTTTGAAGTATTCTTTCTTGTCCTGCAAGCTCCGGGTGTCCTTCTCTGAACCTCTCAACGATCAAACCTCACGCTAGGGTCCTCGCTTTGAGGACACCCAGCTGTCTCCGATGGACCGGCTACCTGATCTTTGGCCTCCGACACGTAGTTGGCCACTGGTTGCACGGTCCGCAGTCTGAAGGGGGTACCAAAAACGGCCCGAATTTTGCCCACCCCCAGATGCGACAAGACACACTGCAAGGTTTGCCTGGATATGAATTCTTGGAGGTGGGCGTGGACATCAGAAATACTTGTGTCCACGAGCCACGTACCCATACGTACCCCCACCCTTCAGTACTCATTGCTCTGTGAATTTGGAACCGACAAGCTGTTTCCCTTCAGTACTTGCTGTTCACTCTGTTAGCTGTTTGGAGGATCACATCCTTAATGCTCGTCCCGAACAAAGCCGCATGATCACTTGGACACACTTGGCCGGGTTTTAGACGCCAGCTTGTCCGTTACTCGAAAGGGGGATACCCAAAACTGGGTGGTTTGTAGTTGGTTTCCCTCTACCCTAAAACGGGTACCCCTTTTCAGACAAACCCGTGAGTATCCCCCCCGCACCTCAAAACAAACGATTTCGGACCAGTCCTCCGGCGTCATGCACCGCTCGTGCATCCACCAAGCATCAGGACCAAGGGAGCTGAACTCGGACTTTGTGGTCTTGATCTTGCCAATCTTGTCCTCAGCGCTGGGAACTTCCCCCTTCTTTTCAGGGATCTTACATTTCAAGCAGAAAAGCGAGTAACGGGGTGTGAAAAGCAACAATGAATCTTTCGTGCCGGAAAGCCAGCAACTAGGGGAGACAGCTGGTTTTCAGGATAAACATGATGGTCGGATGAGTTGCGAGCATCAACCCCCAGATCAGTTGGCTGGCCTTGACCCATGGGAGGCCATCGGTTTTTGCACTAGAACATCAAGTGCCCGGCACGCTGCTTGTTCATGCACTTCCAACAAATCGCCTGGCACAGAGTCGCGGTGAGCCGGATGTTGCGCCACTTTGTGTTGAAAGGAAAGCTGCATAGTGCAGGGCGAGCAGGCTACATGGAATCACCACCAAATAAAGGGTCTGGACCCATGGCCAAACTTGGCGCACAAATCTGCCCGGACGAGCTGTCTTTCCCAACATTTAAATCATGGAATACACTGCAAAAGACTTCAAGTCGACATGAGCGATCTGTCTCTTGGCTTCAACCCGCCACCTAGGCCGAAAGTCGCACGTGCCAAACTTTGGCACCTCAAAGCAGCCGCCGAAGTCTTTGGGGCCGCGTTTGCGGCCGCAGTACACGCCTCCCTTCTCCACGACGCTCCTGGCAGCGACTAGTCAACGGTTCAGTTCGTGTTGAGCCGTGTGGTTTTGGATAAACTCATCGCGATCACGCGTTCAAAGCTGAAGTACATGTAAAAACCGCCTGGATACTGGCTCTTTTGTCAGTTGTGGTTCAAAAGAGAAGCTCCGGTGATTGTCTCAGAACTCCAAGAATCTGGGTCAAATACAGCATTCATAAGCTTGCTGCAGGGATTCACCTCAGTATTCTGAACAGTTAGACATGGGTACACACTTTTCCGCTCTAAGCAGCCGGCTTTGAGCACATGGAGCAGGCCGCGCCATCCTCGGCATCCGAAAAGTCTCAAGTTGTTCAGTAATGCGGACCAGAGTGGATTCGAACCACTATGGTTTGCGATGATGATGATGATCATGATGATGCTTCTGCAAGAAGAACCCTCGAAATTGCGACGCCTCACCCATTGGGCAACTGGTCCTGCCTGCCCTGAGAGCAAACATGTCAACTCGCGGCTGTCGTTCCTGACCACTGGGATCATGATGATGGTGATGATGATGATGATGATGCTGATGATGATCACACCTCTCTCCAACACAATCGGCACGAATTGGATTTCTGATCAACTCAGGCATGAAATGCAGGGAGATCGGGTGAGCACCCAAAAATCATGAGAAACCCTTAGCAAAAGGACTCATTGACTTTGTTTTACCTGAACAAAAAACAAACAGCATGCCCTCGATCTAAGCTCTGCAGGCCGGCTCTCGCTCGGTGCCTGGCCGGCAGCCAGCCAAAGCGCGTCTCCTGAGCCGTGTGCGCATGGTCCACCAGCAAAACCAGGTGTCCACATCGAACATATATCTCGGTTGCTTTCTGCGAAGCCCGGCTAAAAAAGTTTGACTTGACGTTTAGAGGTTTAATACGGAAAACCCATTTGGCAAAAAGTTAAAGTCCTGACATCTCTTGGCAAAATGCAACAAACATATATGGTTTACATTAAACCAAGTATTTCACTTTGATGGTCAACCACATAGACGTGCACAGACAGAGAGGGAGAGGGAGAGAGAGAGGGAGAGAGAGGTGCGAAAGAGACAAAGACACGCAAGAAAAACACAGAGACACAAATACACAGAGACACACAAGCGCACCAACGCACAGAGACACACACACAGCACAAACAGCACAACACGGCAGACAGCGAACATACACACAGCTCATACGACCACTCACACATACATCACACAGTGCATAGCATGCATGCACTCAAGGCACACACACACACACAAAGGCCAACACCCCGCAAACCAGCACACCCAGACCCATACACCAGCAAACTTATTCACACACACACACACCGAAACGAAAACTGGCAAACGATACGCCAACACACACACACACAAACAACAACACACAAACACAGAAACCCGCAAGCATGCAAGCACAGAAACACCAACACTAACACTAACGCACAAACACAACAACACACAAACACTAGATAATGAGAACACACCCACAAAGCACGGCAAAAAGCACAAAACAACAACATTTTGCGCACTCTGGCGCCGTCCTCTGGCTCTTTCTTTGCTTCCGGCGGCGGCGTGGGCAGCGGCTTGGGCTTCTCCACAGGCCTCGATCCGCGAGATCGAAGGGCTTCCCTGCCACGCGACTAGGCACCGGCTGTCCTCAGATCCCCCGCTAAAAGTGTAACTTGTAGTGGGTCAAATGGAAATCCCCACTAAACACTAAAAAGCTAAAAGGCTAAGGGGATGGCTAGCACGGCCAAAACCGTGCCAGCGGCCATTGGACTAATCTGTATTTCCCTTTAACGATGATACCCAAAGGACGTTGCGATGCTTCAACCACCCGAAACAGGCAAATATGAGTTTGTCTCCAAACCGGGCAACCCCCCTGCCCCCAAGAAGATGCAGCCGTCCTTCGATTTCCCTGGCAGGTTGCAAAATAGACCCTACGCGTCCATCACGTAACAACCTCCAAATAGGGGTCTTTGTTCCTTTGATTTCCCTTTGCCAAACGATCCTTTTCCATAGGTTTTCATGAAGACAGTGAGACCGTCTTCTGTTTCAAACATCTGAGCACGCAGCTTCTCGAGGCCCTGGAGAACCTTCCAAGCCTTCATCTTGTCCTCAGCCGATTCGGTGGCTCCCCGTTTGAAACGGCCTCTATTCTTGAGTGCGCACTCTTGTTTTGCGGGTGGCTTTACAGGGAAAGCCAACGGAAACAGCCCCATTTTGGGCGACACACTGATTTTTGTTCGCAAGTTGAGCCTTGTGTCTTGACCGCTGTGCCCAGGTTTGGCATGGCGTTCCAACTTCCCGACCCGTCGCCCAATGTGCCTTGGTGGGCTGATCCTGATCAATCCTTCCGACAGAAGGGGCCCCAAGCGAAGACATGGGTTAAATTCGCTGGAAGAGCCCCGGATTCGCACGATCCTAAGCCAGCGGCTACAGGCTCTTCTTGCGGCGGCGATTCCTGCCAAGCTTTTGGATCCATTGGTCCAAGGGCATTTTTGAGGAATCACTGGGTACGCTGCAAAACATGGAGCCCATGTCCCAAAAGACGTTTCCTCTAAACATGGGAACCATCCAGCCAGGGGTACTTCTCCTAGCGGAGTTGTCGTGCCTGACACCTGCACGGAGGGAAAATGAAGGACATATTTTGAGGCCAGCTCATAAAAGGCGCTCTAAGTCCCTATTTGCTTCCGACAAAGATGTGGACCTTGGCTCGCTTGGGCATGTCGTCAACCCAAAAAAAACGAAGCCCGGGAAAGGAGCTTTTGATACACGGGGGGGGGGGGGGGAAACACTTTGCCACTGTTCCATATATATATATATAAAGACAAACATATAATATATGCATGTAAAATAATTCATGCTATGCTTCACGGGTCTTGAAAAGTCCAGGTGTTTCTTCATCCAAGTCTTTGTCTTCGCATCTGATCTTTGTACACATTAGGACTATGCGCGCTCTGCCTGAGCAGCAGGGCCCAAGTCAGCAGCAAACACTCCTTCCTGCTGTGTCAAACAACCCAAGCTCTCAACAAGGTGAAGCTGACTTCGGCCAGGTAAGATTAGTTGCTTGCAATATACACGATACAGTCCGGGTGAACTAGTAGAGTGCACAAGCCCCTGAGGGCTTCCTGAGAAAGCAACCTTCATCATGGGCAACGTGGCAGGTGTCCTGTCTGCTTGCTTTCTCAGTGGGACACCCGACCCCTACGTTTCAACCCCCATTAAAAGAGTGGTTGACCCAACTCAGATAATCACAATTTTGAGGTAACCACCGGTGGTTACATGAACCCCAATTCCTTTGCTGGTCGTTTGAACCCCAGAACTACAGCGGCCAACACGTGCTCCCGATCCCGTTTTCGGGCCGAAGGTCCTGGCCGCCCCTCTTGGGACTTCTGCTCCTCCACTTCGCGGGGAGAGCCGTACTCTGGACATAGAAGGATAACCTTTTGGGACCTTGACAAGAACAAGACCAAACCAAAACAAACAATTAAGGTCAAAAAGGTCGGTTGTTGGCAACTGAGCATACCCTCCCTTTGTTGAGGGATTCGCTTCAGAACATGCGCCAAGGACCTGAACAAATGTGTGGTTTCTGAAGAGAACGACGCATGAAGCCAGTTCTTTTGGTGTAGGAGACCACAAAATAAGGCCGGGAGGAGTTGGGGAGTTGCGGGGGGCGGGGGGTTAATCGTTTCTCTCGAAAATCACTTGACTGGATCCGGGTGATCTATATACTTTAGGGGAAGACCCCTTTTTCTTCTGTTGCTTTGGGAGGGTGTGGTTTTATTCTGGGCTGTGAGGATTCTCAAACAATGGCCAGGTCCCAGGCTTCTAAGCTGACCGTTTGCCTCGCTTGTGAAAAGAAACTGTCTTGATTCAAGACGGTCTCAAAATGAGGGACCCCTCAAATGTTTCACTGGGCAGTTTCCTGAAGAACCAAGGGTTCCCAAAAAATAACCCAACAACTGAATAGGGCGTCAGCTTTCTTTGGTGGGTGAGCTCCTGGGATTGCGGTATGGATTCACATGTGCGTTCATCTGTGAGTAGAGGCGTCATTGTACCCCGCCCCTTCCAACTCTGAATGGATCCGAATTGAACATCTTCAGGCAAGTGCGCCGCGGCTTCTCTGAAGCGAACCGCGCTTTGCCCAAACTCTGTACAGACCAAGCATCCCGCAGCGAGTAGTGGAAGCCCGGAAATTAACAAGTCTCTGGCTCATTCTTTTCAGAATTGAGGATCAGGATTACTTTGACGGAGTTGCACACACAAAGCCAACACCTCTACTCCCCTACACCAAGCAACACTACACATCCTGATTGGTGTTGATAAACATCATGGGGGGATGTTCCACATGCGCTTCGTTTCCTTTCCTATGCCTTTAAAACCAAGGCAGGGTTCCAGTCATGTTGACCCATATCTGCTATGATCCTGACTTCCTGCAGAGGAACCGGGGTCTGATGTCCCCAGTAATCGGTCGGGTTGAATCACAATCCTCGTTCAACCATGGCACAGGCCGCAAACTAAGCGCGGTGCTTGCCTTTTGAACCCCCTCCTTCGGAAAATCAAGGGACCCCCAAGTTGCTTGGGTTTGCCTCAAAAGGGGGAACCCCAAAATGGTGGGCTTCCGCGTGGTTTCCCTTGAAAACAACACAAAACGGGTGCCCCCTTGGCGTGCGACAACTGGTTGGATCGCATGGCTTACTCCGGCAACGTACCTCTCGCAGTTCACCAACAGGTCAGCGCAACCCGGAGATCCGACAGCTCGTCATCCACATTTTTTTTCCAAAGGCCCTACCAGCTGCAGCAGCAGTCGCCCTCCTTGACTCTACCGCGCACCCCGAGCCTTCAAATGAAGGTGCATGACCTAGGACCTACTTGTACTTACTAATCATCGCTATGGAAACTGGGGGAAAGGATTTGCCAGGCCCCAGCTTCAATCCAACAGGGATCTCTTCAACTGGGACTCTCCCAAAGATGTGTTCTACGACTTTCCAGGTGCCTTTCTTTCAGCCAAGCAAAACGAACAACCGATAAACTGTTGGCGGTTTTCCCTCTCCCCTTTGCTTACTGGCATGCTCGGCCCCGAATAGGTCTGAAACCTAGGGCCTGAGGACCCTTTCAATTCATCCCAAGGAGTTCTCCCTTCGACAAGCCCACACCGGCAAGCGAATGGCAGGCTTCCAGAAGCCCAAAGCGAACCCCGGGTCCCGCGTCCTCCGCTTCTCCTTCTCCTTCTCCTTCTCTTTGGGCGGCTCCGGCTTCGGCTCCGGCGACGCCTTGGGAGCCTGCGCCGCTTTGGGACGTTCCCTGGAATTTGTGTGGCTGCTGTGCTTGGGCTGCTTTTCAAGCCCCCCCCAACTGGGTGAAAGGTTTCAGGTCTTAGTATCAACTCCTGTTGCCGTTGTTCCTCCAAGGCCCTTGGAATCCTCACACCCAACTGGGAAACACTGAACCCCCCTCATCCATAATATCCTCACAATTGGAAAATGTATAAGAAAGGTCCTTTATTTGCGGAAAAACCTTCCATACTACCATGCATTTCTGGACACGCATCCACCTATTGAAGTGAAACCCTCAATATAAGCCTTCACCTGATGGGCGAAAGGGCAGCAGCCTCCAAAAGTAACTTTGAGAAGTGTCCAAAATCACTACTTTCATGCAAACTGTTTACCTGGTGGGGCTTCCTACTTCAGGAACATCTTCTCAGATTGAACACACCCCGAGAACTGGAATCAAGAGTTAGAGTTTAGAAAACAAACTGCAGCTAGCTAACATGCTTAAGTAGACAGTTGCTAACACATGATCATGTCAAGTGGTTCCTTTCAAGGGGCACCATTCTAACCAACAAATTCGTAGTTGTACCTGTGCTCGGACCCCAAATTCGCCAATATTCAGGTTCTTCTTGCTTTAAACGCCAATCAAGAAAGTAAACGGCTGCAACAATCGTAAATCAAGCGTCACACTACCTAGGATTGATGTGATTGTCTATGACGGTGGTACCGGGCAGGGAGGTAAGATGCTGCCCAATATTCCTCTGCTTTTGGTTCCCACCCAAAACACTTACACCAACACATACACACAAGGACGTGCTTCATGCACAGTAAACCTTCGAATGCACAATGCCAAAAAGGATGCCGGAAACATTGACCCGATTGAGCAATGCATAGGATCCACACAATAATGCTTGTTCCTCAAAAGGGCATGGGACAATTGGGTGCCCCCCCCCAACAGACTACCAGCAATTTTGTGAATTTGCCGGAGGCTCAATAACAAAACCCACATAGAAGGTTTGCCACACATGTTGATTGTGATTTAACCATCGTCTCGATGAAAACAAATGTTAACCATCTCAATCAAAACAAATGTGATTGCGACCAGCTTCCTATACTAGCTTCAAAGTGAATGTGACCTACAACCAACCCCCGCTTAATACCAGGTCAGAGGATTGACCCGCGAAGCGTCGAGCTTGGGGCTCCCCACGGTGAAGCCCCGACCCAGGTTCAGCGCGGCTGCCTGCAGCTCCGCCTTTGGGCGAGAAGCGGATTGCAACCGGAAGGGACTTCCCGCACCCTAAAGAAATAGGGGTCCCTATATACTACAAGATATAATATTATTTATATATATATATATATGTATGTTCTATGTGAGTGTCTTGTTTAGGGGACCCCTAAATCCTTTTGGATCTCTTAAACAAAAAAGGAAGACCCCCCTGCGCCATACTGCACATGTACATATCATTCCTACAGGGAAACTCACCGTAAATTGCCCAACCAGATGTTTCAAACCACCAACACGGCTACTCACATGGGCCCGGATATGCATGAAATGGGTGTGTTGTTGGGTACCCAAACATACCTTTCATCAGAACCGACCTCTTCACCATGTCCTCCCACCGCAACCCCCAACCCACTTGTTTGCAACCATGCGTCCCCCCAACCTTTCCTCCCCATCTGGTGTTGAATCTAAACAGGAATGCCCTCAAAATTGCTTGGTGACAATCCCCCGTGTTCATCTCCAGCTATTTCACTTGCAACCGTGGTGATGATAACCCATTTGGCTGAGCATCCAAGCACCTCCCCCCCCCAAGTTCCTTCAAGCTCCACTTGGGTTTTATGTTGCAACCTCCTTCTTGTATTTGACAGTGTCTCAAAATTTGGAGGCCCCCAAACATGTGGTTGTTCTTCCGGTGTCCCTGAAACCAACCCGAAAAACAGAATGCGGACAATTAATCAGGCACATTCCATGTTTGGCGCCCTGGGAAAAAGTCCACGGGCTCTGGTAAATGCCCATGGGTCAAAATCCCGTACCCCCAGCGAACATCCCAATCCCCACTAAAATAGGTTCTAAAATGGGTGAATTCACCTACCAACCAAAATGGGATCCCAAAACGGTTTTGACCACCACAGCCAAATCACCCTCCCCTGTTCGGGTTGGCGCACCCTCCCGCGCCGCTGGGCCGCTGGACGCGGGACGCGCCTGCGAGAGGTGCGGCGCCGCGGCGGCCCTCGGCGCGGGGGCGGCGGTGGCCGCAGCCATGGCCGCCTGCTCCGCCTTCAGCGCCTGACGTGGTGGCGCTGCCTGGTTGGTGGGTGCCTAAGTTTGGGAGTGTTTTCAAGGGAAACCCAGGGAAGACGCTCGTCCTTGGTTTTTTGGGCGATGTTTGGGTCTGTCAGATTTTTGTTCAGGGTGCCTGGGTTGGGTTGGAATCTGAGTACTTTTGGAGGGGAACATGTCCATATCAACAAACTGGGGTTGATTCATATGGGGTGAACATTACCCGGTTTGGGCGTGTTTGCAATTCAGGGATGACCGCTTTTGGGTATGTGTATTTTGAATTGTTCGGTGTGTTTTCAAGGCACCCGTTTTGGCTTTGAAAATCAAGGGAAGCCCGGCTTTTCGTAGGTTCGCTGATGTTGAGGCAGACCCATTTGCCCCTCCCTGGCCTGCAAACATAGGTTTTAATACAATAAGCAAAACAAACCGGGGAGGTGGGGGACAGGAAAACAAACAGTGGTCCCATTTGGCATCTATTTGGTTTCCTCTCCAAAACATAAAGTACTCCTTTGAAAATAACTAAACAAGGGGTGCAATCAAAAAGACACTCCTAGTGCGTAAACATTTGTAGCAGAAAGGCCTGGCCCAAAGTATGAAGACACAAAATGCAGCCAAAAGGGCTTCTCCCTGCAAAGAGACGCCACGCCCAGCCAGAGATGCACCAGCTTGGGTTGCATACCTCGGGGAAAGCAGGATCTCCGGGGTGGAAAGGTATCACCTTGCTACTAATAAGCATGGCTTCATGCACAGACCCGTTTTGGAAGACTGGTGCTACAGTTACTACACGGCTGGCGTTGAGTCCATAGGCTGCGAAAAGCATATTCATCTGTGTGAATTATAATCCACGACACAGACAAAAGCGACGCGGAACCCAAACATTTCTCAAGTAAGGATACCCGCAGCAGGTGTGGTTCGCGCAGAACCTGCAGCTGTGGAGGCTGGACACGTAGCGCCGCTGTTTGATGAAACCCGAGATTCGCGCGAAAATCACATGATGTTTGGAGGAAGGTCCTTGTGGAACACAAATTCTTCTGGGTTTCCATGTTAAGTTGCAGGAGGTAGTCGGTTGTGTTGATGCTAGGGCTGCCGTGGTGTGTTGCGCCGCTAACCTTGGAGGCAAGATCCTTTCAGTGGGGAACCGATTCATTCGTCGGATCGGTATGGTCCGCCGGATCTATCCAAAGCCTTTCATTACAAGGTGGCTTCAACGGTGAAACATCACCCCATCATAAGAAAGCTCACTTCGAACAGTGCAACAAATGAAGCTTCAAACCGCCCTTCAGGGAACTTCTCCCCTGCAACTAGCATAGAACCCAAAAAAGGCACGAAATCAATCGGTTCCTCTCTAAACATGATTATTTTGGTTGGGTCACATGTTCATCTGCACAGAAATCATAGCGACCCCTGGACCGGCCACAACAAAAACCGGCGCCCTCGGCCCGCCTCCTCGTCGGAGGAGTCCATTCCCGTATCCTCCGTGGCAGAGACCTCGGCTCGCAAGCGCCGCAAGAGGCGGACGATTTTTTGTTTGCACCAGTTGCCAGGTGGTTTGTGCGAGTTTGTTTGCACCAGTTTCCAAGTGGAGTTTTTTTTCTATCCGAGCTTATCCCATTGGGTTTCATCCATCTGGATTTTGTCCATCAGTATGGTCATGGAAAAAAAGAGGGCACCCTGCAGAGCTGCGTACTGATTTTAAGGGGGAACCCCCACGTCCAAACGCAAGCGCGCCTCGAACTTGCCGTTGTCTGCCACCAGCACCTCTGTGACGTTGGAGGCCGTGCTGTCTATCACCGACCTGAGGGCTTGCTTGGATGTCCAGTTGCTTGGCAAGTGAGTTACAACTGTTAACTATGGTTATAAGTCCGCCAGCCCCAGTTTTCCTAGCAATAGCCATAGTCATAACCACTGGGCCAGACCCAAGCTGCAACAAGTCATCTTGTTGCTGCTTGAACTTGGGAGTGAAGGCAAACAAACACGGCAAAATGCTAAGGAAGTCAGATCAGGCTGGCAATGCTTACCCGGCCCCTGTTTACATTGTTACATCATCCTGCCAAACAGAAACTCGATCAGAATTGGCAAGCCGAATCAATCTGTGGATCATCTGTTTGATGGACCGTGCCCTGAGGCTGGATGATTGAACCTAACCCAAAGCAGGGCTTCGAAGAAGCGTCCTTTACACAAGGGCCAACTGAGGCGGCTTTCTTACAACTAGATTGCCCGGTGGATCCAGCAAATCCACCCTAGTAGTTCAACAGGCGTTGCTTTGTATGGTGCTAGTGGTTGGAGATAACCAAGGAGTTCCCCTTGCCTCTACTAGAACAGGAGTTTGCTCTGTTCTGCTTGAGTCAAAGTTTCTGGGTACCCCATAGCGGGACGCAATGGCTACATTACTCCGAGGTTCCCTCTGCCACGATGGAAGGTCTGTTGATCGCAACAGACGCACCAACACAAGGATACATCGAGTCCCGACTATGCCTGTGAAGAAATGTTCCCCGCTGAAGGCCATGCAAAAGGACTCACTCCGTTAAAGGGGAACGACGGCCAACCTCCTCATCGCTAGAACCGGATCTGCTGACCTTGTGGCAACCAACCGCAACACAAAGTAGAATATGCATGGTGTAGGCATAATAGCTATGGCTCATTCGCTCTGACTTCTGTACGCTGAACGCTTGGTACAAACGATTCACTGACCTGAACATAATTGAAGTCAGCGTTTGCGTCTCTTTTCCGAAGGTCTCCCATCCTGGACGGAGAGCACCAAACCTCGAGAGATCCCTTACACCACACACTGCCACAAACAAAAACGCACACACAAACACGAGAACACGACAACACACGAGAACTGCTTTGTCTGTTTTAAATGGTCTCCCTGCAATCAAATCGAGACTGCAACACCCAAACCACCAAGGGGATTACACGAGCGAGCTGGCCAGGCCTAACACAAACAATTGTCCGCAAAGCCTCCGCCCCTCTGCATCTGGTCACCTCACAAACCAGTTGCCACTGAGCCCGCTGGCTGTGCAAAGGCGTCCAGTCTAAGCTGGTGCAAAGGTGCCTGCACAAAGGCATACCAGGCTTGCTCTGCTTGATTTAGTAGGCGGATCACAAAACCAATAACCAATAGAATTAACTTGTGTCTGAGTCAAGCTGTATCCAAGTGGCCGAAATAGTGGGACCCCAGAAATGCTGGTTTGTGTGGTGGACCCATAAAAATATATAATTACACGTATATGGGTGTGGGTCAAAATTAAACCACCTGGGGACCGCAGGTTTTGGTCCATGTTGCCACTTCCCAGGGTTCCATTTTGGGTACCTATGTTTGACCCACAGCCATATACACATTGACATGCAAACAGCCAGTATGCAAGCCCGATTTTGGGGCAGGAAAAGGTGGCCTGAGGCTTGCCGGGGGACTTCGGGCAGGGGTGCCTCGTCCGTGTGGGAGCGACACGAGTTGCTACTCCGGCTCGAACCCGAAAAGACCAAACCCGAAAGAACGGCCATACAAAGGGCAATCCTCCCGTTGGTGAGCTCAGTGTCTGCGCGTGCTTGACCCTTTTGGGCCCAAATCGACCGTAGGTAAAGCGTGAAAACTTGTCACAGTCACGTTTTTCGGTGGGCCCAGCAGCCACAATTTGGGCAACCCACTTGGAGATAAATATGAATTGGAACTTCATGGACCCATGAATGGACAATCAAGCATCCACCAATCGCCCTGAATGGTGAGAAAACCAGTAACAATCACAGCCACGTGTGATATCTGGGCCAACATAGCATCCAAGTGTGGAGCATAATTGAGTCTTTTGCTGGATCTTTGGGTGCAAGGCTCCAACTCTCATCCGCAATTCTGTGGATTCTCGAACCGGTCCAGGGCCACAGCGGGCTTGTCGCAAATCGGACAACACCTCAGCCGCTCCGGTCACGAACCAGGTCATGTACACATGTTCTTGTCCCATCTCCTGAACGCCCTCTTTGCAAGAGTCTACCAAGGTATCCAAATGTCATCTTGAATTCCAGGTCCAAGCCCCAGCCACCAGTGGCAATCTCTCTTGAAGTGTTCGGGCTCCAAGACAGCTTATCACTTGTCAAGGATGCGGCTCAGTCCAATACTCGACACGTCTTGGGCCCTTCGGGTGGGGAGTTGCTTCGCTGGGACTTGGCACATGGTAATGGCAAGGGGTCGGCCTGAATCACTGATGCACACGTACCGGAAATAAGATCCTGTAAGGCAAAGGCTGCACTGTGAGCTCGTTGAAGCTATGTGCTTCATAGGTCCATCCGTGCACCTCGTTCCCCCTGCCTACGGAATGCACACATTTCGCCCCCTGTCGACACACGGGCGCAAAATGTTGATTGGGGACCCTTTAGTGGACATCAAACTCAGGTGGGGATACATGTAACTGGACCCTCAAACTACCCATAAAAAAGGGATTTCACCCCATAGCTGTTGGCGCAATAAGCCATGTGTAAGATAATCTTGAGGGTCCAGGTACAGCAACCAATACTGAGGTGGTTTATGACACTCATCATGGCCAAGTCTTTTTGGCTTGGCTCCAGGCCAGGCGTGCTTCGGCGGGATGTTGCGCATGGTGTGGATGTAGGAGTGCAAGTCGAAGCACTGCAAATGGTCGCACCTCGAGTTGGCCATTCGGAGCCGGTGAATCTGAGGTCCCAGAAGCCGGTGAGTGCGAAAAGACTTGAGGCTGCTGCTTGAAACCATGTGAACCACTAGGTCCTCCAGTAGAGAGCTTCGAATAAGGGTACCCTTTTTTCTGTAGTCTATTTTAGTAGGGGAACCCTCCCCCAAAAAGGGCAAAAGGGCTAGACCATGATTTTGAACGTGCAACCAAATAAAGGGAGTCCCACCAACAAAGGTGGGGGTTGGGTCACAAATGGGGTGCCCCAAAACATACCTGAGCACTTGAGCACCAGTTGGCTCAAATGTGAAACCCGCTTGTGGATCGTCCTCTTATTGACCCCTGAGTTGAAGTGGTTGGTTGGTTGGCTGATTGGTCTGGTTGGCAAATTGTAACTCGCAGCTATGCTTCTCACCAGACAAGCATCTTTTGGCATGTGAAATTGGTGTCTGCGCTGAAATCTGAATGCAAATTTTCAGGGGCTTTATTGGGTGCATTTTAACACTGTTGGACCAGCCCCATGTCATTGTCCGAAATGCAAGCATGCTGTCGTCAGTATGAGAAATCGGCAAACACACATCATCAACCCCGGATCCTGACAAACAATTGAAGACATGCTTGACGCACGCTTCAAGCACCAGTATCCCCAATACTGGCCTCTTTTGTGCGGGCTCCGGGTTCGGTTGCTTCTGTAGTTGACAACCTTGGAAACTTCCATTCCTGAAAGCAAACGACCGTCACAATTCATGATCATGTTTCTGATGCCCGCCTGTTCTGGAGTCCTAAATGTCCTCCAATTAGAGCACATTGCAACCAAGGGACCTTCAGGTGGGTTCCATGTGAGTTGATGAGAGGGTAACTTCAGGGTTCATGACGAAATGCGTGGTGCCATTGTGATCGGGGTTTGCCTGTTGGCAACCTTTTTGGGAGAATGCTGGGACCCCTCAAAGTGGTTTTCTACACTAGGGAGTCTCTTGATTTTCCTGAAAAGAGGCTCAGAAGCTAACCCCTGTTGTAGGAAATAATGGTCTTCCAGGAGCGCCAATTCGGTTCCAGGTTGGGTGGGAGGTACCCGACCTACTACTACTACTACTACTACTACTACCACTACTACTACTACTACTACTACTACTACTACTACTACTACTACTACTACTACTACTACTACTGCGTCATTCCGAAATCATATCGCGAAGGCAGGACTCCGTTTCTCGCATCAAACAGGTTCCCGAAGTTTCCCAGCTCGCAGATTCACCGCCGTCTGCAGCTGCTGAGCGTTAGCCAACAATCAAACATGCTGTACGTAGATTTGCCACAAAGCAAGCAGCAAACTTTGGCCGACACATGATCAATGTGCATATGATGTAGTATAAACAAAGCGTTCACATGCGCTGAAGCCCGAGAATCCTTTTAAACGTTGTTTTTTTTTGTGTTCTCCCCATCCGTACAAGGAATGTGCGACCATTCAAGAATCTTTGCATTGCACAGTGCATCAAGTGTGCTGTATCCACATCACGACTTGCTTCAGCTTAGCTGAATCGCCCGACTAACAAAATAGACAAGTCTGCGCGTAAGCCTTGTTGTTTTTTGTCTGTATCATAGCTGATCGCCCACATTCCTGTTGGAAGTTCGGTCCTGATCCTTGCCCATTCCGTTCTGGGTGCAAACCAGTGGAGAAGTAAAATACACTAACAATTCGTCCTCTTGTCGTGTCTCATGAGGAAAGTGTAACAACTATTTGCACTGAGTACTATAATTCACAACCTGAATTAGCAACTCAAAGGACCTGTAGCCTATATCCCTAGTCTATGGTTAGTTCACCGATTGCGATCGTGTTCTTGTACAAAGGGCCCTGGTTTCATTTTTCTGCCATGCAATCCGCCTTTGATCCTGTACTGGTTCAGAGCCATAGCAAGGGGAGTGACTGAAGTTGTGACGAATAGTGACCATCATTCGGGGCGGTTCAAGATTGAGGTCACAACCTTCCCATGGCCCTCAAGTGGATTTCAAGGATCGCGTTGCGAGTGAGATGGCTTGCAGCATTGCAGATGCATCGTTTCATGCGCCGAGATGGTTACATCCAGCTCTAAGGGAGCAACAATTTAAATGTTAGCAGTTAAGTGAGGATTTCCCACTCAACCACAATAAGCAAACATGTAAAATGTTTCCGAACAACAACCATGAAGACCCCCCGTGACTAAGCCGGGCGCATCATGGCCCGCGCCGCACGCTCGATGCGGAGGAGGCTTGCTGGGCGTTGGAGCGTCGGGCAAAAGGCTTTGCACCCGGGAGACATGAGGTTGATCAAAGGGAGCGAGCAACACGTTCAATCATGTCCAGGCCAGTGTAGATTGTACACATCTAAGAACATGTTGATTCTTCACCAGTACCCGCAAGAAAGCAACCTTCATCACAATAGCACTTTGTTCCCATTGAGGGTGAACTCTCGTTCAATGCTCATCGTTTTGAGCTCACGAGCAAACTGAAGCGACTTGTTCATGGCTCACACTGCAAAGTAGGATCCTGGCCATCAACGTGTCTGTGAGTGGCCAGAAATGGCTGCCCAAGGGTCGGTCTCACAGTGCTTCCCACAGAAACCCATTTCCAAAAGGGTCCAACTTGTCTTGACAGGCTGGGCAAACTGCCAGCTGGTTCTTTGCCCAGAAGCCTCGGGTTCCTTTAGGACATAGCCACCTCAGTGTGCAGACAACAAGCACCGAGTGCCGTCCTGGATCAGGAAGTCAATGTCGCACTGTTTGGGCCCAACAGGACCCCGGACATGTTTCGAGCCCTGGCTAAATACTCTTCTTGACCCAAATCAATATATTTCTCCCCAACTCTTTCTTTGTGTTCCTCCCGCCCACTCCTTTACTCTCGCCCATAAGCACCTATTGCCTGGTGGTTCGGAGCCCGGCTCAGATTTGAGGGCCCCGGCTGCAGCAGGTCAGCTTCAGCACTGGCGGCTCCACACACCGCAGGGTGTCCTGCAACTTCTCGGACCAAACGCGGAACGCTCATGGAGCCCAGGGCAACCCGCCAGCCTCGTGAGCATCTTTCCGATGCCTGGTAAATTATCCGTGCCCAAAATGGGTTGTCCTGGGAAATGGAACCGAGGTCTACTATGGCCCCCTGCTTCAATTTGACCCATACCCAACTTGTGGCTTCCCCGACAGAAACGGAGTAGACATTGATCCATTCCCTTCGGGCCTTCGGGGGGAAGTTGCCGGAGAATCTGGGAAAGGGCCGATTGGCCCATGTGATAGCCAGGCAATCACACAAACATGGACGGGCATTCTCCTAATACGTCCCTGAAACAATTCTCACAGGGTTGGATGACAGCAAAAACAAACAGGGCTCCTAGAACCTCGTAGCACCCAGTCGTGTTCTGGAAGATTAAGTTGAACAGGTCGCTAGCAAATTCATCGGTTTGACCGAACCCCTCCGAGTCACCGAGGCTTGTCCGTCCCCAACCGCTAAAATCACCCCCTTCGAAGCCGAACTTCGAGGAGCAAAACAGCGGATCTTCCAAGATGGACCCTTTCATCACCCGTGCCGCCCATTGGCTGTGCACAGCACCCTGTGTATGCACGACTAACAGTGGACCTAGCATTGGATAAGGGTGTTCTTTAGAATCAAACTAAGCCATGCTGCGAAGAGAACCGTGTAAGTATTCAGCGCCTTCTACAGGGATCCTTACATTGTACACCTGAACACTGCCTTGTAAATGGTGGTGTCCATTTGTTTTGGTGGAAAAAGCCATGTTTCAAATGGGCAAAAATGTATCTTTTAAGGAGCCCTGTTCTATTAAGCCCCCTACGAACCTTGTCCAAAACTGGGTGCCTAGTGGCCAGCAGTTTCCGCCTTGACAGGCATGGTGCAACTCGATTCACTTGCGCGCAACCACCCGCACAAGGGTGCCACTGCACGTTGTGTTGATTGCTTTTACGGAATATCACCCAAAAAATCAGGAACCTAGGGTGTCACCCATAGGGTCCATACTGGTCCATACTTAACTGCGTCATATCTGCCAAAAAGCGTCCACGAGCCATGAACATGCGAATGCCGGTCTATCCGCGTCTGCGACGCACTCTGTGAATGCCTCTTGGAGTTGCGAAGCTATCTCAGCTTCAGTAGGGCCGAGCGATGCAGACGCGGCGCACCCCAGCCCCTTGCTGAAGCGTCAGCATCGATATCGAAGTCAGCACTCTCTTTCGCACAAACGCTTTCTGAGGAAGGGGAAGGGACGCCTCTTGGGCGTCCCAGGTGCCATGGAAGAAGGTACGCACAACAATACGAGGGATAGCAACGGCGGCCAAAACTGCATGATATTTGTTGGGACTATCCGGATAAAAATCCTCTCGGGCTTCTATCAGACCTCAAATGGAGTTGTCTCCAAAATGGGGGGGGGCATCTTTCCGGTGCCAGTTTGGCAAACCAACAGGAACGCTATGCCGGACATTTTTCGGAGGCCCCTCTGATATACTTTTTTGGGATGTGTTCCAAACCAAGCATCCAACCACGTTTAGGGGGAGATCCAACTTATTGAAACAAGCTGGCGGAGGGTGCAACAAATGGACGCGCCTTTTTTCAGGTGACTCCCCCCAAAAAAACAAGATGGAAACACATCCCACCAACGGCGGCTCTAACAGAGTTGAGGTTTCCCTTTGGTTTCCTTTTGCCACAAACAAGGGTACCCTCAAAAAACACTTCCAAATCTGTTCAAAGGGCATCTCTTCCGTCCTTCTTTGACACCCGGTCTGGGCGGTGCTCCATGACCCACCTGAGCCGTGCCCGCGCTCTCGAGAAAGGACTGAAGGTGCGCAGCCAACCCAAACTTCGGAGAACATACGAAGCAAAGAAAAACACGCCTTTGCTTGTTTGCGCCTAAATCAAATGGTTATCAGTCAGGGGCCGCACCTGTCTGAAAACTTCCAAATGGTTGTAATTGTGCTTGCTTTCAACTCTGTTTGCTTGGACGTGCTTCTGGGGCTGCTTTCCTTCTCTTCTCCTTCTGCGTCCATGCCCAGACGGATACGTCGCTACCTCGGAACCAAACCATCGCCTGAGCCCTGTCCGTTTCGGCAACCATCCGCGGGGGTCCCGGCAGGCGCACGCGCTCCAGGTCCAGCGCCATCCGATCCTGCAGCTTAGCTGTCAGCTTTGCCAAGCTACGTGGGGTGGGGGAGGAGTTCTTGGGTTTCCGCAATGACCCAAACTAAAATGTGTCCAAAATGTCGATTCCCGCTGGTTGCGGAAAACCAAAGGTTTCCAAGATGTTTCCAGGTCAAGTTGCAAAAGCATGGTCGACCGGATGGTCGATTCCCGTTGGTTCCCACTTGCAATTTGTAGGGAATGAACCATACAAGCATTCTGTCAGTCTAGCCAGTATTGCACCTTTTGTTCATTTTCCTGGTGATATATTAATATGCTTAAGTACATCGGGAGCTCCTTGCAAATCAGTGGCCGTGGAATTGGTGGCCAAGCTCCAAAAAAGGGACCCGTCGTATACTTGGGTTGCTGAAGGTCAGCCCCAAGGTGTTGACAGAATGTACCACAACAAATATCGTCCCTTGAAGGTTTGTGTGGGTTCACTGCTCCAGTGTGAAACGTTCAGTGTGACATAGGCAACACAACATGGAGGGAGGCATCCTGCAAGCCAAGATAAGTGAACATCTTCTGATGAGTAGGGTGTCCCGTTTTAGAGGGGATCCTTGACAGTTGTTGGGGAAGAACCCCCTATATATCAGCCATGTCTATTAATCCAGGGTCGACATGATGTTCATGAGGGGCATGAAACCCACTTCTGACAGACCGGGAGACACACTTCGTTCACGAAGGCAATGCTTACAAATGCTAATGATGTTGGACCGTATTGATACGAGGAGCTTCCAGAAAGTGATCGCCTAGCCCGGATAAGTATGGTCCTCCAGACTAATCCGAAGTTGATGCACTAAATCCTACAGCGACTTTTGCAGAACCAATGCGCTGCTGTCCTCCCGGTATCCATTTCGGCAGGTTGAAGGGAGTCAAAAGCCAGACAATCAATGCGCTAATCGCAATAGCCCGTTGAAACACATCCGATCGCGAGCCACCAGTCAACCACCAATTCCAAACAACGCGGCGAGCCCGGCGAGCTCCATTCTCACCACAGGAGATTCATATGCAGCCCTTCAGCAAAAGCCGATCTGATTCCCATGTTCCTGTTATCTGGCTCGCTGGGTGCAGCCGAAGAGCCTGTTGCTCCGTGCACTCCAACAAGCAGGCAGGCAGGCAGGCAGGCAGGCAGGCAGTAGGCAGGCAGGCAGGCAGGAAAGCAAGCAAGCAGGCAAGCAAGAAGTGTACACCATTTGGAACCCGGGAAGCCTGGTCGTGGTAGTGTTTCTCACATTGACCAATGCGAAACCAGTCACCAAAAGGGTTCCCTGATTTCAAGAACTTTTTTCCGAAGGGACACATCCCAAGTCACTTGTTTCAAAATGCGGTCCTCTAAATCAGGTGGTGAATGAGGTCTGCAACCTGGTATCTTTCAGGCAACCTTGCATTGATTCATGGGGTGTTTCTCTACCCTCGTGTCCTTCAAGGGCGGCTGCTGCTTGATGACCTGACTCCGAGCCCGCATTCCCGATTCGGGCTTGTGCACCAGAAGCTGATGGAAAGGTCTGGAATGGCCCATACCTCCACTTGCCTGCAAGGACTGGAGTATACACCCTGCCATTTGGAAGAGCGCATAGTCATGTTCGACCAAATTGTGCAAGTGCATCTTTTCGGAGCAGATTTTGGCCTTACAAGGTGAGGTCTGTGCAGCTCCATGATTGTTTGTGTTTCCCGGGGTGCCGGGTAGTTGTGCGAAGCTCCGCGGTCCGATGGAGCCCAGACAATACTGGGCCAGTGGTTGCAAGCCATGGGTAGGCAACCACATGTGGCTGCCCTTTCTTCCACCCAATTGTTCGAATGACTGGACGGCCCTCACCCGACTGGCATCGTTGAGTGTGACCCAATGATTACCAAGGATCTCAGACTGTACGAGTCAAAAGAGAAAGGGCGCATTCCCAAAAACTGGATTTCCGAGCGTGCTTCACTGATTCTCAATCTGAAGCAATTCAACAGGCTTCTGGAAACATCCAATATGGATTCCAAGCACCCGACAACCCCGTTCTACCCATCTAGGACTGTATATTCATTGACAAGCGCCAGGCAGAAATCGACATGGACCGTACCAGCCCCCGCCCCCACCCCACCCGGCAACAGCTTACTCAGGGAAACAAGGCCGACTCATTTAGGCCATAAGTACCGCAGCTTCTGCCCCGAACAAATACGACTTGTGATTCTGGTCCATATTCAGTGAACCCTTCAAGGTAGAAGCATGTCAATAGATCCTAAGCAGCCGAAATATGATGTATCTTTATCGACCTGGAGTCTCCATGACCCTTTAAAAAGGGGTCCATGACCCATTGTTTTGGGTAATGAATCCATATTTTGAGGGTCATGGAGACTCCAGGTATATCTTTATCTGCTGCTTTCTGTATCCCGGATAACGTTTGGGTTGGTGTCTTCGGGGTCCCAGGTGGTGACCCATCACGCACAAACGGCCTTCTCCGCAACGTCCTCGTCTCTGAGAATGGGAGAGGTGATGGCAAAGCCTCACAAACGAAAGCAAACTGCCCCCATGGAAAACCTGAGTTTTTTTTGGTATTCTATTTTCGAAATCCCCTCAACCAAAAGATCAAACGAGGGTACGAACGGGGGTAGCCCGCCCTGGTTTACACAACCCCCTTTGGGTTTCCCGGAAAAAGGGCCAGGGTCCCCAAAATCTCGGTGTTGAGGAAAGAAACTTAGAAGCCAACAGAGGCGCGAAGCGCGAATGGCAAGGCGCGGTGGAATCTGCTCGCAACCAGCATTTGTTTAAAAGGCTCTGCCCTGAGCATGGTTCAGCTTTCCATGTGGAAGGAAGGGTACTCGGCTTGCAAATGGATCTGCTGTGGGGATCTGACCACTTTTGCGGGCTCCATGTCATAATTCAAATTTGCAGGAGAGCAAAGGGTGCTGTAGCTTCGCCAAGGGAAACCCACAACAACCACAAGACAATCCTTAAAACCATCATGTCTGGCACACCAAAGCGACCTCTGATCGAACTGCTGCAAGTTACTTCATCGCTTGTCTTTGCCGACTGCGCGGCCCATGACGACTACTTCATGCCCCGATTCACACGGTTGCCAATAGAAGGCTTCCGTCAACTTGTGTTATTACCCCTCTTGACCCAAAAGACTGGAACCTATTTGTGTACTGGACAAGTGAAATTCAGGTGAGCTACACTGCTAGCGAGTCCCTCAATGTCCCTCCTAAATTCAACATAATTCAACATAGACTACTGGATATTTTCACTGAGCCTGCCCAGTTCAAGACACTCTTGCGCCAACGCAGCTCGAGAATCGAAAACCACCCCGATGGCGCTGAGTCCCAAAGTTCTGCGAAAGATTGCCTTCGATTTGCTCAACCCAAGAATCAACGCAATGAAATACATCGCTGGAATCCACCGGCAATGAAATGCCTAGGTTATCACTGGGAGTAATTGAGAACAAATGAACAATGCGCCGGACCTCCGCTTTGTCCAAATAAAGACTAAGGCACCAAGTCCAAGACACCAAAACCTATATGAGCAACGGCTTTTATTTGTTACATGGCATAATGGACGGGTGTTCCTGACTCGTTTTCCAACCCCGCGCTTGGTCGCAGCCCCCTATCTCGTTTTCCAACACCGCGCTCGTTTTATCTGGCTCAACTTTCTGTAGAGCTTGAAGAAGAGGAGCTTAAAGAAGTAAACGAGCTTTGGTTAGCTTGCCGCCTCCTTTGTCTCCTTCGTTGTTGCCGCACAACCTTTCGCTAAGCAAACTGTTGAAAAGTAATACTTGAGAGGAGGAACTGGGCCAATACTCACTTGGACGCTGTAGGGGACTCGTTCTGAACTCGTTTTGAACTCGTTTTGAACTCGTTTTGGAACTCTTTTTAACATGGCCCGCTTTTGGACGGCTGAAAATTGCCCAGGGGAAAATCTTGAACAAACCAGCTACGCTGCTTCTTCGTCACACCCTTTTGCAATTAGGCATCGTAGGGTTGGCGGTACTTGCCCCGGAAAGTCTGTGGTAAGTTGCCACGGACCATGCGACGTAGGTCGTCTACTCTACACTACATCTAACAACCTTGAACCCAAGACGCTCTGCCAGGCTACACTTGCCAACATGTCATCCTAATCCATGTTATCATGCTTGTTTGCCCTATCTCGTTTTCGGGGTGTTCCCCAACTCGTTCTGCGGCTAAATATGCACATTTCCAAAAAATAGTTCCAGCCCCTTGCATGTTTCCATTAACGTAAATAAAGTGAGTCGCTCATATGACTTGCAATAGTTGGCCAGCCCAAAACAAGGGAAGCAATTGGTGCCCTATGCAAGGAACTTTAATTCTAAGGCCCAAGCACTCACCCCAAAACGTCTGTAAGGTTGCGTGTAGCCGCTGGAACTTGCCCAGAAAAAGGTCTGAAGCAACCGATCGCAGCTGGGCGTTGGGCCGATCGCCCAAATCTCATTCTTCGTGGCCGAGATGGCCACTTTGACCTGGCTAAGCCGTATCTGAGTTGTTGACCATATTGGTGGAGTGTAAGTTTTGGGCGGGCCCCTATCGGGTTTGCCGGCTGGCGTTTGCAGTGGGGGGGCGGTTTTGCAGGCCGGCCCTATTCTGGCGGTAATATGGTCAATACGATTCTCCCAAAATAGAAGCACCACTAAAAAGAGTGGTTCCCTTGAAACAACAAAATGGGTACCCCCAAACGCATGACACAGGAATGTCTCCAAAGTGGGTCACACCTTGTTGGATGTTGAGGGGAATAGGCAACCACCCGCAGGTGTGCCTCTTTGGAGGAACAGGCCTCGCTTGAGTTGTCCGAAACCTGGACCACCTACATTGGATTTTGCTTTCCGATTAACCACCGCACGCAAAAGGGTGTCTTGTTTTTTCAGGAAACCAACAAAATCTCACAATTTTAGAGGTCCCCCACCCAAATGTTGTTTTTAAGGGTTCACTGCTAAACTGGCTCTGAATGCCTTCAAAAAGAGGTCAGTCCATCCACAGAAAACCCAGCAAGCAGCTTTGGGATAACAAGGCCCCAGCTAGGATCGGAGCACCAGGACACACGCGGACCTTTTGGTCCATGACAAAACATGGCTGCAGTGTGGGCAACCAGAAGTTAGTGGCCATTGATATCTCTTTTGAACGCGTTCACTCGGATCGCTTTGAGGGTGCCTATGAGGCCTAGAAGCTACAACATTATTTATCCCAAAGTGACCTGGAAATGAAAGCCAAGTGATGGCAGGTCCAACGCGGGAATCCAGCGACATCAAACTAAGCCTGGATCCAGTTGACCATTGAACCTAGTGAAAAAACATAAAAAGTGTTTTTGATGCCACTGTATTTTTGCGGGCAACCCTACCTTGAACAAAATGATTTTAGAGAGCAGCTGAACAACCGGGGATGTAGTTGTCTATCCTACCCGCTCTAATTAAGAAGGCAGACTTCCCTGGCAAACAAACACGGCCAAGGCGGAAAACAACTATTTGAACTGTGTCGCGAAACGGCCTCTTCTGTGTCGTCACCGAGAAACGAACATCTCCCGGCCTGCATGGGCTGCGTCACCTGGCAACTTCCCGGACTCGTTACCCGAAAATATGGATCCCCTTTCTACTAGATCCCCAGCTTAAATGCATGACAGCTTGAGAATCCCAATTGCTGGCCCCATTGCCAATGTCGCCAAGTTTATTCCCCAGATAGCTGAAAGCTATAGGGGCTCTAACTTCTAATAAAGAAGGGAAAGTGATTTGCTAGATTGACGGCTGGGTGCTAGGGGGCATACAGTTTGGGGTGCTGGTGCAGGTTGCAGGTGCTGTGCTGGGGGGCAGGTGCTGTTGGAGGTGCTGGTGACGGTGTGTGCTGCTGTTGACGGCTGGGGCGCTGGCGGCGTGCAGGTGCAGTTTTGGGGGATTGGTGCAGTTGGAAGTTCTGCCTTTGCGGCCTAGGTCAATGGTGCAAATCTTCGACCTGCTTGACGCTATCCGGGGTCTATGCTGGTGTAATGTACGGAAAGACGTGATAAATCCCAAGTCCCCAGAAGCAGACTAAGCATGGCCTCAGTAGGTCGCAGCTAATGGAAACTGGACTGCCCCAGTTCAACCACACGTTTGCAGCTGGTCGGCTGCCGTTTCCTGGGTACTACTTCATCACTTCGAGCACGATTCCCCTGACCAGAGAAAGTGGCCGGCAGGTTCCCAACAATGATGAGCAAACATGTCATCCCCTGACCCTTGGGGATTTGAACAAACACACCAACCTACTGTCAGCTCTAAGGGTACATGTGGGCCCGCAGACCCCACACCAACTCGCCTCCAAAGGCTTGCGCACCACCCAGCCGGTGAGGTCAAAGGGCCCAGGTGCCTGTCACGAAACCAACGGAACGAAGCGCTTCGTCCCTTGGGCCAACCCAAACTTTGAAGATTCAGCCGTGGCTGGAACAACCTTCGCTTCTCTTCAAAGGCCTGCTTGAACATCGATCCAAGGGGCGTCTGAAGGGCAAAATGAAGCCAGGTCGTCCTCTTCCAAGGCCTTTGTTGCAAACAGCTCTTGGGAGGAAATCATCCATTGTGTCCAAAAAGGAGAAGTCTTCAGAAAGGACAAGCCTGACTGGGTGTACCGATGACAAATCTGGACGACCTCATCCGTAGGTCTGGCCTCCGTTAGAATCCATGCAATACGCTCAGTTCCAACCATGGCATTCCTGCGTCTAACCCCTTTAGCTACGGGGGGGGGGGGGGAACTTTTGAGCATGGAACTGACATTCCCCAGTTGCTCACTCTCCCTGAACACTGGACCTGTGCCAAGATGAAGAAACCTCTACTGCGACAATATCCACACGGAAGCACCAATGGTAATCTTTGCAACACACCATGTCAGTCTGGTTGCTGTGAGTCTGCCTAATTCCTCTTTGCCATTAATGATGACGATCATGATAGTGGTGGTTGTGAGGATGCTGACACGAGGGGGTCGCGAGGGTCGCTGATTTCCCAGAAACATGTACATTGCCACTCCGCATGGCCATGGCAATGGCTCCTTTGACTGAATTCGTTGTTGCGGTTGTCGAACCCCGCGTTAAACACCATGTCTGCACGCCTAAACAAAACCAAAAATGAACCGACCTTTTTGGACCACACCTGTGCCAAACGGCAGGACCCTTTTGGAGCTTGGCATAGCGGTCAGCAACCTGCCAGCCCAACGAGCCAGCGGGCCATTTTCAAGGACTACGCCGCTGGCCGCATCTGTCTTCGGTTCGTTTGCCCAGTTCAGAGCAAATGCTTGGATGATCCCAAATTGATGGTGATCAACATGTACTATAATTCCAACAACAGTACAAACGGATCCCCAAGTAAAGCGCCTTCATCATGACGACCGCATGTTATTTTCAGGCGACCTCGACAAATATAAAAGCAGACTGATTGCAAAAATGAGCAAACAAACCGGATTTGGACATTAAACACTGCAGAGTTCTCGCACGCCCACCAAACCTAAAGGAGTGACAAGTGACCCCTTCTTGCCTCGAAGTTCTCCTTGTCGGGCTTCTTCACCAGGACCCTCCGGTCACCCACAAAAATGGAGATGCCGTTGGGCCTTGAGCGCTGCGGATTTGGGGATGTTGAAATCTCCGAATGCAGGTTGATACAAAGACGCAGGGAAACCGTGCTGAAACCATGCCAATGTTGGTCCATCAACTTTTGGGAATCGGAGCAACCCTTCTTTTTCAACGAGGGATTCAGAAAGTGGAGCCTCTTCAGAGTTAAGGGGTACATGCCTCCACTTGTTTCGGATCTTTGATTGGGGCAACTTATACGCATTCACGTACTGGGAATGAGGAACCTCATAAACAAAATTGCTCTTCAGCATGGTTTAGACTGCCCGTTGATCAGCAAGCTTGTTCTCAGGGGGTTTGTTTAGTGAGGGTACCCCTTCCATTCCTTTTCAGGTTGGTAAATGGGAAACCAAAACAAAGAAGCAAACCCACAAATTTGGGCTCCCCAAAAAATAGTAAAAGGAGAATTCAAGGAATTCTACTTTTACTATTTTTTTCTCCATCAGCAACACAACAAACAGAAAACACAATCCAGAACAACAAGCAAACAAAATAAATAATCACAACCAGCAACAAAAATATTTAATCACAGCATACAACATTAAATAATTCAAACAAGCATACCAACAAAACAGCAAAAATAAAAACCATCAAAGAACCCAAACTCAAACACACACATCAACAAAAAACAAAGCAACATACCAACAAAAAATATCAGAAGAGTATCAAACAAAATAAAAACAAACAGTCAAAGCACGAAAAAATCAAAAGAGCATGCCAAGTTCAAACAACGCACTTTGAAAGAGTCAAGCAAATTAGGAAAATTAAAATATTTCAATCTTTACAAACTATAAGTTCAGTATAATTATAACATATAAGATTCTACATGTTATAATTATATTACAATTATGAGATAACTATTATTTGATGTGAAAACCACATTGTAAAAACCACATACCCCTATGTGAAAACCGCATACCCCTATGTGAAAACCGCATACCCCTATGTGAAAACCACATACCCCTATGTGAAAACCGCATACCCCTATGTGAAAACCGCATACCCCTATGTGAAAACCACATTGTGGAAACCACATACCCCTATGCGAAAACCACATTGTTAAAATCACATTGAGGAAAACACATTGTGAAAACGTCACCATTTTGACAATGGTTGTCTTATGTTTTGCTTGTGCTTAATTCATCACACTCATTAAAATTTCAAGTATCAAACTACTCGGTAATTTATATAGGTCTTCCTGTTCATGAAATACTGGATTGTCTCCCCATTTTTCCTTGTTTCCACTTGGCAGTCTCTATTGATTATATTGTAGATATTGTTGATGCTTGATGGTCTTTTCGTGTGGTGCTTTGTCTCCTCTTCGGAGCGTTGAACCACAGCAACAAGTGTATTTTATTTTGTTTCTTTCTAACTTTTCTTGGTATGTTTGTTGTTTCTTTCTTTCTCGCCTTTGTTTTTCTTCTTCGTCTTCACAAATGTTCCCTAAAAACCGCTGATGTTTTTTGCTTCTTTCGTGCTCTGCTTTTCCACCAATACCAACAACAGACCCACAGGCACAGGTGTATTTTTGTTTCTGTCTTTCATTGATGGCATCTTTGTTTTTCCAATAGTGGTCTCGTTTTTGTTGATTTATTTGTTCTCGGTAGTGCTCCCTGTATTCAGCATATGTTCTTCCCGGTGTCTGCTTATTAACACAATCCGTCGATAGTTTGTAATGACCTTCTCTTTTCCGTAGTTCTTCCACTGTATCGCACGGGCAGTTTTCAATTAGTTCAATCAAGCAGTTGTCAATACCAAATTCATCAAACATATTGAAGGATGTTATAAAATACTTACCACCCTTCAAATAGTTTCTGTATTCTTTACGATGCCTTGCCATTCTCTGACTTAGACTTTCACAAGTGCTTCCTATATAGCATCTAGTATAAGCATTATCAGTTATTTTATACACCTTCCCATTCCTATATCGGTTTGTATCCATTACTATCATATTAATATGGCATTTCTTTAAAGGGGTTTCAATCCAAACTACATAAGATTTCCAAAACTAATTGGGATGGTATTCTATATAAATCACTCTGTGAATGAATGATGGGGTTTTCCCCCCAGTCGGCTTTGCTTTTTTGTGGCAGTCTCTGCGCAGTTTCAATATGTTTCCCATTCCTGATGTTGCCACAATCCTTTTTACATAAATCTCTAGGTTTCCAAGTTGTAATGTTATTCCAAAGCCTAGTTCTCTTTCTGTAAGGCATTCCATATTTACAATAATCCACATCTTTAAATTCAAACTCATCAATAAACTCCTGATTTTTTAATAATCCAGTTTGGGGATTTTCGATTACAAAATACCTAGGATTAAAATATTTAATAATTTCAATAGTTTTTAAAACTATACTATTAGCATATTCAATGTTTCTTATTCCCCTAGTTTTTGCTACACTATATTCAGTGCATGGGGGACTACTCCAAATAAAATCAAAATGGTTCCTATCAAATTGTTTATAATCCCATTTCAAAATATCAGTATTTATATCAGCATTTTTCAAATCCAATGAAATAACATTGAAACCGAGCGACTTTGCAACAAGTCCAACACTACCTGTTCCGCTAAACATCTCTAATAAGTTCATTATTAAAGATATTTAGATAATATTATCTATGAATAAAAATCCCTGTTTCCTCGTCAAAAACTAAACTATGTTTAGTTTTCAATGAGTAAATACAACTTTATGAATAAAGTTGCGTTTCCTCGTCATAGTCAATTTGATAAAATGTCATAGTTGAAGCCTTCGGTTCTTTAATTTCTTTGTTATTAAGTTTGTTTAAATAAATATTTCTTTTATTTTTATATTCCCCATTGGTTCTATCTACTTCTTTACTTTGATAACTGTTTGTTAATGGTTTCTTCTTTTCCATTTCTTGTAAGATTTCTAAAATATTCTTATTCTGTTCTAAAACCTTATTCAGTTTTTTCACAATCTTTTCTAATCCTTCATCCATGTAAATATATACTAAATTATAAAACTAAACTTTTAAAACTAAATGTTTTAGTTTCGAAGGTCTTTGTTACTTATATGTTTAAATTCTTTGCCTTGCACCATAAGTCTAACAATGTTATCTAAATCTTTTTGAGTATGTCCACATACTATCGCTTTGTCTAGATATAAATATTCATAGCTAAGACCAACACTAATTAATAAAAAGTTATATTTTCTAGTTTGAGTACGAGTTAAGACTATTTTACAACCACACTCACAAGTATAATAACTAACACCATTATAATTATTGTCTCCAATTTGTTTATCTAATTCAATTGCTCCATTATGTAAATTTGTTAAACTTGAAAATTTGTCCATATACTAAATCATAAAATAAACTTTTAAAACTAAATGTTGCAATTATGTTAAATCTACTCTTTAAATACTAATTTTTCATTATTTGTTTAACAGTTTCCTGAGTTTCCTTATCACCATTATCGGATGGAGTAACTCCCCTCCCAAAGCGAATAGCAATATTATGAACATCTGTTTCTAAGTTGATACTGTCTTTAGTTTTATCAATATTCATTTTCTTATCATTTCTACTTATTTTGAAACTTGTCGGAATACACGAACATTTACAGTTTCCTTTCTTTTGTATTTCTAATTCATTTTTCATTTCTAAGATTTTTTTACACATTGGACAAGCAAACTCAATAACTGATGTTTCTTTAACAATTTCTTCTTTTTCTTCATCAGTTGAAGAAACAACTGATTCTGTCTTATTCTTTTTCTTTCTTCCCATCTATATTAATATTTATATTTTTAATATATTGTATCACAAACTTAATTAATTCTAAAACAAAATAGCATACTTTCTTAAATCTATTATCAGTTATAACAACATCTTCTATATGTTGTACTTCATTTATTATATCAATATAATCTGTATAACTCCTTTTCATATTAAATAATAAGATAAATTATTTTTTCATTTCTGTCTTTCTTTTCTTATAAAGTTTTTTCATTGTATCGTCTTTATTCCATCTATATTCCACAACTTTCTGATGATGTTTTGAATTTAGATGTTTAAATAAATATTTGTCATCATAAGTTTTACCACAACTGCAATGGTTAATGACCATATAAATAATAAATATAAAATATTTTCTAAATAACTTTAATATTATTTTATTATGTCTGATGTTCCAATAATAAAACCAATAAATATAACTGATTACGATTTCAAACAATCTAAATATGAACATGTACCAAAACTACCTTTTCGCTCAATTGTTGTTGCTTCATCAACGGGTGGCAAAACAGTTTTAATTCAAAACCTTATCCTAAATGTTTATAGGGACTGCTTCGCCCGTATATTCATTTTTAGCCCGTCGGTTCATAATGACCCTACCTTCGTTGAAGTCAAGAAATATCAAAAAGATAATATGAAGGTTGATGATGAAAAAGAAAAGTTATATTATGACACCTACCAACCTGAAGAACTGGAAGAAATAATTAACACACAAAGAAAGATAATTCATTATATGAAAGAACAGAAGATGAAGAAACTACATTCAATTTTAATCATAGTTGATGATTTTGCAGACGACCCTAAATTTGTTAGATATAGTAAGTTACTTCATGGACTGGCAACGAGAGGCAGACACGACGCCATTAGTTTTTGCTTAAGTGTTCAAAAATATCGTGTCCTTGCTCCAATCATTAGGTTGAATTCTAGTTCGTTGTATATCTTCAAGTTAAAGAATGTATCAGAGTTAATGTCATTCATTGAGGAAAACTCCGCCATCGTTGATAAAGAGCAACTGTTAAATATGTATCATAAAGCGGTAGATGATAAGCCCTACTCCTTCTTTTATGTTAATATGAATTCCAAAGATGTTAATAATATGTTTTATGTTAGATTTGAGAAAGCTTTTAAAATAAAATAAATCTATTATATATTATAGAATGTTAAAAATGTTTCAAGAAAGAATATATGAAGAACCAGTAAGGTTTTTCGGCAGCGATATACCAAAACA